CCTTCATTACCTTAAGCGAAATAGGGTGAACACATTTCATATATCTGATATATCGTTAGTCTTTAAACCTTACTTACAAACGGAAAAACATGCTTATCCTATATTATGAGATATATTCACGCTATATCGTTTAAGATGATGAAACAGTTTTGGGAGATTGTCCATAATGATAACTTTTTGTTGCTATTATAGGCCTATTGAATAGGCTCCGACAATCCCGGAAAGAAATTTGATGTGTTAAAGGCCTGGCTAGCCTTGAAATTTACGTCTACCCCATGACCCTCGGGCACTCGTGGCAATGTGAGGCATTGTTAACACATCAAAATTATACACTGCACTTACTAGCCTCGACTCGTGCTAGGAGTGGTTTTGATACCCGGGGAAGGTTGAAACTGCAGTCAAGTCTGGATGAGATTACCTTTTGGTGACAGGGCTAAGTGAAATTCATTTGCATCATGAGACCTACTTGTCTCATGATGGGAAAATTCATCTATCACTCCTTCCTCACCCTATGCTTCCGTAGGGTGAATACAACTCCTCATAAAGGTTGCTTTGTAATTTTTAAATTTTGTTTACCATTCACTCTTCAGGGTTGGACGACCTCACAGCGACAACGAAGTCCATATTGGCTTGATTGGACAGTTTATCATGGACCGGCATTGTGTCTTCGTCAAGAATGGAGGTATGACACATTAACTTTTAAATCTTGTTAGTTTAATTAGCAAGGACATCCGATAAGTAAACGAGTCTTCGAGAATGATAAAGTAGGTTAGGAGCGAGAGGATGCGTTTTCCAGTGGTTATTTGATTTATAATAATACGCAAAAAAAGTTAATCAACAGAAGGATGGGCTGTTTGACCTCGTTTTCGCTACATGGGCTGAGCGACAGGGAGACCTTCTGTGGAGCATACAGAGTCCTGTGTCCTCTGCTATAGTATTCATGTTTTCTAGCATCTAACAGTTTACTTGCTACATTCCCGATGAATAGTAAAATTTGTATATCACCATATTACGTAAGCTTTAGAAATTAGAGTAGAACAAGTTGTAATTATTAAGTTGTAATTCGGGGAAAGCAAGCATCTGTGTGAAATTTAATGGATATCGTCAGCTCAACGCATATCATTGTTAGAAAATTATATTACCAGTCGTTCATCAGCTTACACGAAATAAGGTGAAAACATCTGATATTACTGATTTAATGATAGTCTAGAAACACTACTCTAAAATGAAAATAAGTGAGGTAGTCGATTTTTATAGAAAATATACCATTGCTACATAAATTAGAAATGCGCCTAATGTAGATTACAGTGAAAATGTATGATAAGACAACAGAACTGAATAGACCAAACGAAATTTAAAAATTTTCCGCGTCTTGTATAAAATGGATTGAATTTGTCTGAACTTTGGTTGAATATACTAGATACTACTGAGGAGTCATTTCTTATTTTTCATTCATAACTAATTTTTTACCACTAGCAGTAGCTCATATATATGAGGATATTCACCCTATTTCGTTAAAGATGATAAGGGACTGACAGTTACATTTTTCCGCAATGATATGAGTGGGCCTTAAATTTCCAATGAATTTCACATACCCTTACTTCTCAAAAGGGTATCTTATCCTCACTCAGCTCTCATCATCACCCCCGGCGTGACTCGAAATTGGGCAGTGCAGGGTATAATTTCGAAACGTTAGCTACTATACCACACTGTCACAAGTTCCCTTGGATCACAGGAAAGATGAGAATTTTATGGAAAGCCAGGCTTTTTCTCATATCACATTCTGTAATCGGAGTGTCGATGGAGCAAAGTTGTATTTGATATGGCAATGGATTGAATTACCACTATTTCGTTAGTAAGTAGGTTTAAGATACTACCAGTAGACCATATTTACGAGCCATATTCACTCTATTTTAGTTTGAGGTGATGGAAGACCGGTATACAGTCGACCCTGGATGGAAATACCTTTTGGGAAGCAAGACTATATTACATTAAATGGAAACGTAAGGCCTACTCATATCACTGTGGGAAAATTTGACTACCAGTTCTTCATAACCTTAAACCAAATAGGGTGAATAAACCTCATATAGTATATCTTAATGTATGTTTCTTTGCCATAAATATGATTTCCTTTCATTATATCATATAGGGATAGCTCATACTTAATCCAAATTGAAGTGATTAGACCAGACTCGACATGACAAACTAAAGATGAGGCTAGAGCAGATTTTGGTGTAAGGAAGTGAATCACGTCGGACCAAAATGGACAAAAATAGAAAAAAATAAAATAGAGAAACGGACGCCAAGCTTTGCTTTGGTGATCATACCTTTCACTATTGATCTTCCCATATCGGATTGACGAGGATGTTTTACTTTCAGTTGGTTATTCCCGTATGGTGTCGGCCGTTCAGGCAACTTGGTATCATACCGCGGCATGGATAGACGATCTATCAATTTAAGGGGCGCATATACAGAAGCGGCCATGCAGATCTTCAGGAGGCATACAGTAAACATTTGAGCTAATACTACTACTCAATTGGGTGCGATCGTTAGACCAATTTAACGTTTGGATCCACAAGCTTCTTAGTATTGCCATTTATTCTATAAAATATTAAATACTTTGTGCTATTCTGCTTTATTATGCTCTCCACAATTGCCAGATTGCATTCACCTGCGACCATGCCCGGACGCCGAATGCTATGTGAACGGCTCTCAGATCCTGGAGCGAACCCCTCTACGTTCTGCTGCTCGGGTCATCCTGGGCAAGAATCACGTGTTCCGGTTCAACAATCCACTTCAACGTAAGTGCTGAAATATCATCTTTCCCGCTTTGCTTCTCCTCTATGGAGGGATAAAGGATAAAGGTGGAGCGACTATTTGATAGACAAAATATTCTCGTAGAAAGTGAATATGAATTTTTGTTACCTGTGCAAAAAACATGGGGGAAAAGTTCATTTTGTGCAGCACTAGTGGGCGGAATGGCTGAGTAAATAAAATGTGATGACCAAATTTCAACTTCTTCGCAATTTTATGACTGTCGAAGGGCAGGGCCCATGAAAAGGTGGAACCGGCTGTAATAATCTATTTTATTGGGGTTCGTGGTACGTCCTAATAGCCGACAAGAACTATTTGCTCTCCACAATTCCCAATCAAGGACGATTGGGCGAGCTGGTTTTGTAGCACAATGAATAAGTAGGACTTTCGAGGCAGGAATAAATAGGCAATTTGTTTTGGGTAAACCAACTAGACTATAAAATATCAACAAACACGTATTAGAAATATGGTTATTCTACGCCTCTTTCGGCAGTATTCGTCTCTATCATGCAAAAAAATGTCTGACTAGCTGAGTACGCGAAGGGCAAGGTCATCGTCGGCCTATCGAGACATCGGCATATCACTTGCTACATCAACATGAACAAGATAATCGAACTCAACAGAAACTCATCCATCTATTTATAGTTTTTTTCACAATGAGTGAGTTTCGATACTATAAGTAAATATTGAATAAAAACTGTAGTCACCATAGTTCTCATGAGGTGATGAAAGACCAATTGCAGAATTTTCTCACAATAATATTAGAAGGCTTGACAATGCCACTGGAATTTAACTTCCAAAATGTATTATTATACCAATTGGCTTGCGCCTACAGCGCAAATTGAATCCAAGTCGTTCTCATCCGAGTGATATGCTACAAATCTGTTCACAACCGTAGGTGTCAGTGGATCACAGGGCAGATGTGACTTTTAGGGCAATTTAATCTCAAAAATCACATTTATGGTGATTCACTGACATTCCTGGCTGTGTGATGGGGTGGCAACATGTCGCCAAAATGCGTACTCTCAGTGTTTAATTAGGTTTGGGGGGCTAATATGACCTCTTCTATATTGGGTCGCCCCTGAAACCTACTGTTGAATTCGACAGTGGATCTGTTTCGGGCCTGTAGGCGTAATTATCTAAGTCACTTCCATCAGGTGAGTGCTGACCTAAGCCAGGCCGATGAATTCGTTGGTCGCCAAGCCCCATGAGGGCTCCAGGCCCTGGTAAGCGCATATGCCTCAATTGAAGTATATCCCTCGAATCCGGCTGTATGGTCGGCGGCGGATCTCTGTATTCATCCGAATGCTCATGTTTTATATTGCTTTCCCTACCGTCATCATTGATCTTACCGTTTATCATGATGTTTGGGAATTATACATCAAGCAAAGAGATAAAAGAGTTTCTTCAAATATGCGAAATTCATATTTTTTTAACTATCTTTCGAAGCAGCTGATATAACTAATAACGTATACTCCTTTGTTGACAGGCTCTTAAAACTTCGAAAACCACTTAACCGACTTTTCGACCTACAAAGTTCCTCGGTTATAGGTGAATCTGGACAAGAAAACCTGCGTTTATACGCTTTGTGTTAGAAAATCTGCGCTCTTACTGGATCTACAAATTAGAATTAAGATTACTTGAGCCTGGAGCATTAGGCACAATCGCCTTTTCCTTCGCCTATTCGAGAGAATTGGAAATCAAAAGAGAAGATTTACATTGTTGAGCTTACTTCCATTTCGAGTAGAAGTGTTGGGTGAAGAAATTCGAAGGTCGGTTCCACCAGAA